AATGCAATTTTTTTTTCTTTTTTTGGAGGGTCGGGGGGAAATCTTGCATACTGTAGGGCTTAAGGTGCATAAATTCATGGGATCTCTTAGCACAGCTAAGTACTAGGCTATGCTACACTGGGCAAAGTAAGATATCACACTAATGCCGTGGTGGTGCAGAAGTGCTTCAGTGACTGATTAACCAATCAAATCAATCAATCAATCAAAGAATAAAACGAAACAAAAGATAACGGGGTTTGATGCGAGTGCTACCGCTGCATGTTTAGCAGCGCTGCCCGCCGACCTGGTTGCAGAATGGAGTTTGGCAAGGGTCGCTGCACAGAAGAGTCAGACTCTGAACATCTGACCTCTCGTGAGGTGGCTATGGCAACAAACCACATCAACATACGACTGCCTGTCACCGTTGCTGCATGCTTAACGTTTGTGTGCAGAGTCGAACAACGGGACGACTGAAAAAACTAAATAATCAAACTGTACAGACAGCCCTAATAAACGGGGGCGGGATTGATTAAAGATGTGGCGGTGATGGGGCGGGGTTTTAAGCTTATTTCACTCTGAGTGCGGATAGGGGAGGATTTTTTCTTTTGACAGGTGGGGCGCTTACGGACTCATGGAAAAACGTCTCTTTAGAAACAATGTAAAACCATATGAGAAAACTTATAGGGGGGAGGGGGGGAACGGCTAACTGGTTTAGCTAATCACACGTCGCAGCAGAGGAGGCGAGGACGGGCCTCCCGTCGCCTCCTGCGCCGTGTGATGATGTGCACAGCTAGCAGACAGGGCTACAAAAACAGGGAAAGGCAGTCGAACACAGATAACTCTCTTAGAGCAGCACATCCTGATAAGGATGCCATCACTCCTCCTTCTGTAGTGCTCCGTCTGACGGGCAGTCGTCAAGGCAACAGGGGGCCTCCACTTCCACCCCCTCTGATTGGTTGTCTCTGCTGGCTAAGGCACACGGGGTTGGCTGGGCCAGGGGAGTCAGCTCCAAGGGCTGGCCGATGGCGGAGGCTGCTGAGCTGCCATTCAGCTGCTGAGAGGCAACCTCTGGCGTGGAACCCACCTCCTCGGAGGGCTTTGGGGGACTGCTGGATGGGGGGGACGACGTCTGGGGAAGGAGAGACAGAAATGTTGGAGTGCAACAAAGTTGACGTCCACGCCTGATTTCAGTGTTCACCTGAGAGTACAGAGGCTTGTCTGGGTTTGTCTCCTGTCACACCTGTGTTCTGTTGGCAGTTGTCTTCTTCCCTCCCCTTAGTTTTGCTGGAGTCTCTTTACCCCTCCTGTGGTGCACAAAGAGAAAGGCTTTTAAAAAAAAGTCTCCACTGGGTTAACATTACAGTTCTTTTAGGTCGGCTCCAATGCATGTAGTGGCTAGTATAACCTTTAGGCCTTTGACTAGAGATGAACTAACTGGCTGGTGACCAGAGCAGCTGATCAGCCTCAAATATATCCAGTTCTGTAGCTTTACATTCAGTCTTTTTAGAATGATTTTACATAATGTAAACAGGAGGGAGGGAAAAATACTACACACTAGTTTAAAAGCAGGAAAACACAGGAAACTAAATGCTGTTCTACTTATCATGTAGTTGAAACCTTTATTTAGATTCTTCAATAAATAACCAACTCATATTGCACATTTGGAATGGTGACTTCACGGCGGTCATCTTTTGTACAGGCTATGATCGACACAGGATTTGTTTCATTAAGTAGTGATCTCTTTTTTACAACTGTCTGTCCTTGAAGTCCGAACAGTAAGAGCTGACTTTACAAACTTGATCCAAGAAAGAGGCGATCGATGGTTTTCAGAGGCTGAAGAAGACTCGTCACTATAAGAAAGATGAATTTTGAGAAGGGAAAAGGGTGGAGTGCCCACTCCGGGTCGGGGATGAGTTCCTGCCCCAAGTGGAGGAGTTCAAGTATCTCGGGGTCTTGTTC